AAACTCATTCAGTTCTCAAAATCATATCTTAATAGGCATTCACCTAATGAAGACCTGTCCTTATGAATTTCAAACATTTCCTAATGTTCCCCACAGCTGGTAATAAAGTGACTCTCACATGGGAGGTGTTGATGGTTTTGCCCACGGCAGCATCAGATTGAGATTCTCCAGGAGGTGATCTACACAGGCCTTTCCCCACAAAGTTCAAGATCATGATCCTTGTCAAGCCTTGTGAGTGTTTGCATGATCCAAAGAAGCAGACTTTAGATGGGCAATAGAGCCGCATAGGAAATCATGTTGAAATGCAGATTCTGACTCAGCGGGTCTGCAACATGGGCCAACTTTCTGCATTTCCAAGGGTTTCCCTGTGACGTCTATGTTGCTGGGCTGAGGGCCACATTTTGAATAGCAGGGGTTTAGATTCCAGTTGGCAAATGACAGTACAGGCTGGGAGCCTGTTTTTATAAATAAAGTTTTATTGGAACACAGCTATGCCATTCACTCACATATTGTCTACAGCTGCTTTCATGCTACAATGGTGGAGTGGGGTAGTAGTGACAGAGACCTTTTGGACTACAGAGCCTAAGACATTTGCTATCTAGCCTTTTAAGAAAACATTTGGTGACATGTAATTTAACCTAATAGCTGATTCTTTAGTTTCCTTATGTTCTCTTCCTGTTGGCAAGTACTTGATGGAAAGCAACAACAATATATTGCTTTTAGGTGATAGGAGAGCTTTGCATATTAAATAGCATGGATTCAGGAAAAATAGCCATAAGGTAAAAAAATAAGCCTTTCTGCATACTTGGTATTAACAGATATTAACATCACACATATAATTAAGTTCAATTTTAGAACACTTATTGACAGTGCACTGTGGCTAAACCTGCCAATGAGAAATAGCAAAGACAAATCTGCTGAGGGCGAAGACTCTAGAGAAGTGTCTGAAATGAATCACGTACCTCACAGAGCTCCAGACTTGAACATCTGGCATTTTTATACTTTATACAATTCAACTTCTAACTATCTCTTTCATATAAATCAAATAGAAATGTTATGCCTTATTTTCTCAAGGAAAGGTGAGTGGGAACAAACAGAGTTAAATAAACATCCCGCACCCTCAATTAACAACACAGGTTGGGAAACACAGGTTTGCACAGGTTGGGTAAACATAGGCTGGGAAAATGCAATTTGTCATGGTTACTAATATAAAACAAGAGGGTAAGCTGTTGTCCAAATCCAGTGTTGTACAAAGAAGGCAATTCTGAATAAGCTTTAAATAGCAATAAGGAGACTTGACAATGTTGATATTATGGGAGTAATTCAGTGCAGTGGGTGTGTGACTATTATTTCTTCTCCCATTAAGTGGGTAGAGAGAAGCACAGATATTTGAATAAGTATCAGACAGTTTGTGGCTTATATAACTCTTATTCCACAGGTCTTATTTGTTCTCAATGCTCTGTCTGATGATTTCCCAGAAATTTAACATAGAAAGAAGGACAGTCTGGGAAAAACAAAAGTGTCCAAGCCTAATTGTGAATCGAATGCAACTATAAAAATTCTCTCCAGATCTTCACTCATTCATTTATTTTACAAATATTTATTGAGCACCGGCTGTACTAGGTGCTTGGGCTACACTGGTGAATAAAATACCCTCATCAATCTATATTCATGTATAGGAGATAAAACATAAAATGTAGATTATGTGATATGTTATAGAGTGACACATGCTTTAGAAGTACAAAGTGTAGAGCAGGCTAAGGGGTTTGGGGAGAGTGGGGTAGGGTGCAGCATAGAAAATTCTACCACTCATGTTTAAATGGAAATCTTGAATACGTGTACCTTGCATAAGCTAGGTTACCTCTAAGATTCTTTAAAAGACCATAGTTAAGCCCTGGCTAGTGTGGCTCAGTGGATTAAGTGCTGGCCTGCGAAACAAAAGGTCGCCGGTTGGATCCCCAGCCAGGGCACACGTCTGTGTTGCAGGCCAGGTCCCCAGTAGGGGGCATAAAAGAGGCAACCACACATTAATGTTTATCTCCCTCCCTTCCCCTCCCTGTAAAAATAAATAAATAAAATCTTTAAAAAACATATCATGGTTAAATGATGTAATAAAAAAGGTTTCAGGAATTCTACTTGTTCTGTGAAATTTTAAGTGATTAAGAAGTACCTAGTACTATGTGGCTAGGCATTCAGTAACTTTCTAGTAAACCAATCAATGAAGATCTTAAAGTGAGTAGAAAACGTGTGATTTGGTTTTTGAGTGATTGAAAATCTGTTGCTATAGTAATACCATACAGAATGTCATACCAAAGAAAATGCATATAATTTGTATTATGTTTTTTGAATAAATGCCAAAAATGTATTTATATATCAACATTTGTTCAGGGACTATATTTAATATCATGTATAAAGATGAATGAATATTTATGTGGTTCACAAGTTATACTTTCAGATCTGATTTTTGGAGTGTGGGCATATCGTTTTTCAATATACAGAGTCTACTATTATGAGGAATTCCAGACATAATAGAATAGTGCCTCAAATTAAGGCATTAAAAAAATAGTGACCACATGGGAAATGGCTTAAAATAATATAATTAAACTGATGAAAGTCACATTGCTTTGTCTGTAAAATAAATGATAACATGATCCACAGACAATGCAAATTAAATAAAAATGCCCTAAGGCCGTATGGAAGAGGGGATTAGCGTCTCTGTACTACATACATGTGGGGATCAATATCATATTTAAACTGAAAATAGAAAGAGGTTTTTCTTGAAAGCAACTTATAACCGGCATTTCTACCATCCATCTGAAAAGCTGATCTGACTGAGAGGCAACGGACATAGAAACTGCAAACTAGCGCATGCCCAGGACAGAGAGCCAGAGTCACAGCATCCCACAGACGCCATCGGAAGTGACAGAACATACATTTAAAAAGTAATAATTTCCAAAGGAATTAGGCAATAGAAATTCAATTTCCTCAGACTTCTCTTTGAGTGAATATGTTAGTAAACACTAAAATATTCCATTGGATATCCATCATAGATCTGACTCAATAAAGGAGGAATAATGCTGGACACAAAGAATTAGGCTGAAAGCGCTCACAGAGCTAAGGATCTTAAGTTCTTCACAGTCCACAGAAGTTCAGTGTTATAAAGGACCAATCTTTTTTCTATGTGTACTTTTCTTCCAGGATACAGTACTGCTTTCTTCATGCTTTGAATCGACAATACTAAGTTAGGCAGTCTACTGCCTTTGGCCAATTTCAATTATTTTTGCACTTATACTCTTTTTATGGGCTCAAACATTTTTGTGAGAGTCACAGGATATTTTAGAAGTTTTTTCTGAAAATAAGATTGACTGTTAGGTGGCTTACAGAGTACTCAGGCATCTTAATTAACAGATCAGGGTAAAAGTGAGAATATATGAGAATCATTCTGAAAGCTCACTGGCTATGTGAAAAACATGATTCTCTTGGTGATTCACTATGCATAACAATTTTAAATGTGAGCAAACACCTATGTCCTACATTCCAGGAGAAACACATTTTTAAAGTAATCTTCAATTTTACATTTTAAGGACTAATTACAATCTTATATATTATCATCATATCATCTCAGAATGAGAAGTGCATTTACATTTTTCCTAGTATCTAATTTATAGCACCTGTGTTATTTGATATAGAGAATAAAATACTCAGTTACTCTTAGAGATGTTTATTGAAGTTTGCCTATTATAAACAATAAACTCTTTTTCTTTTATAGTTATTATTTGAAATATATGGAATAATCTTAAACTTTGCTATGCATATTTACTAAACTGAAAAATACTTATATCTAGAGCTTCAATATCATGGAGACTTTGGGACTTATAATACTCTACTTAGATAAAACAGGAACTATGAGACAAGGTTAATAAAAAGATAAGGTTTTTGAAAGTTGTTTGTAAGAACATGTATAAAAAATTCCAATCATTGTATCACTACGATACTTTGATGGTTTTTAAATGTGAGATGGTCGGTCCTATTACTTCATATTGTTTTCTGAACCGTATCATAAAACTAGAGGAGCACCATTCTAACAGAAATTATTTCAGCAAGATTGGAAAGCATCTGCCATGGAACCCCCCCCCCCACTAGCAATTTAACCCTTCTTAGGTCACCTCCATTAAAAGGTAGGAGAATCACTGTCCAGTATTTGCAAACATGGAACATGTGTGATTCCGGCTGACCCACAGTAAACTGATTCCATTAGAAAAAGACAGATGTGTTAAAGTAAAAGAATAATGGACAAACACTGTTGAAGGCTGACTATATTAAGACTTAGAACCAAAGAGTTCACTGCATATGCTAGCCAAAGATGGCCACTCTTCACAACTTTTGGCAACTCAGTCATTATCACAGGATTTCAGTTATTTATTTATTTAAGATTAGAAAACAAAAATGGGGAAAGTTTCCTAAGAGTACTCTTTTTTTTGGCAACTCCAACTGAATGAGCCATAGATAGATGTTTTTTGAGTTTTCACCAGTTCTGGCTTTCAATCTTTCTTCTCTGACATTTGATGGAATTTTAGGCACATTGCAAATCTTGCCAGTTTGGTCATTAAAAGTTTGTCTGGTTTAAAACTTCATTCTCAAATTAAATTAAATTGAAATCTCCTCTCCTCCTCTCCTTGTTACCTGTACAGAGACCTGTTGCAGATGGTTGGGTTTATTCAACGGACTCTTAACTCCAAAGGAGGTGCTGGCACCATCCTGCCTACCCATAAGGCTTCTTTGTGACAACTCTGGGACTGAGTGGCCAACTCCTGGGCAATGAGACAAGTGCCATCAAATGTCCTGTTACATATAAATGCAACATGTACAGTGTGGTGCCCCATAATGTTCAGTTTAGAAAATAATCCTGTTCCATTCATTTCCCTCCATTCTCATTCATGTGTGATTTACTTCCACCCCCAAAGCAGCAAACATGTAACACTGAAGAAAACCTGGATTACCGTGGCTGTTGCATCTGGACGTTTCCACGAGCCTGCCGTTTTGATCGTAGCATGCCATTGCTTGGTAACGATAGCCTTGCCCACACTCCTTGATGTCTCCTTGTACTTTCATTCCCAGCAACACTTCCACTTTCCCCTCTGGTAAAATGCAGTCTGACCAGTTCCCCACGGGTTGTGCATTATACTTGTCACAAGGACAGTACTGAGTCTCAATCAGGGGGTACACGTGAGAATTTTTACATTTTTCCTTCTTTTTACTTTTTCCTGTGGAGAAATTTAAGTTGGAAAATATCATTATTAATTTCAAATGCTCCCTAAGTTTTCTCCTTTCCTAAACTACCTTTCTCCATTTTAGCCACATTCTATAGCAGTCTATAAATAAATGCTGTTTTCTCACTCCACACTGCTTTTTATCTAGGCTTTTGTTAGTATCAGGTGCTTTGCATAGTGAAAATTTTTTTCTCATTTAAAAATAGCCCATTATACTGGGCACTGTTGTTGTGATTTTTATACTCCTTAAAATGATTAAAATCCTCTCAAATGATCGTGTATTTTCACTGGCTGGGAAGTTGGAGGTACCTGCATACATCTCTACTTCAAAATATGAAGTGGAGAGAGTCAACACACTGACTTGCACAACTTTTTTGTTAATTCCAAATAGATGATACAACTATATAGGATTACAATTCAGAAAATGAGATATTTGTATTTGCTTTTTTCTTAAACATTTTATTTATTTCTTTTTAGAGAGAGAGGAAGGGAGGGAGAGAGGGAGAGAAGCATCAATATGTGGTTGCCTCTCACGCACCCCCTACTGGGGACCTGGTCTGCAACCCAGGCATGTGCCCTGACTGGGAATCGAACCAGCGACCTTTTGTTTCACAGGCCAGCACTCAATCCACTGAGCCACACCAGCCAGGGCTCTGTGTGTGTGTGTGTGTGTGTGTGTGTGTGTGTGTGTGTGTGTGTTTCTGGTTATGATTTTGCATTTTTCAGCATTTCTGAAGAGTAGTCATTTTGACATAGTTGGTGATTAATATAGGAAATATCAATAATATTCAAAATGAAGATATATAGTATCAGACTAAAATATTAGAAGTGATCTGTACATAAATGTAAAATTATCTTTTAAAATAGAAACCTAAAGTATAACAGTAATATGTGCTAGAAATAATATATCATTATTTTAATTAGATCACATATATTTATTATATTGTGTCATATATTATAGACTAATTATATTATGCATCATTAGTTACAAATGTTTTACATACATTTATCTGTAACTTTCATAAGCTAGGGCATGTAGTTTTCAATAGTTTTCATTATGACAGGTGGCTTATTTTATAACTTTTAAATTCTGAGGAGTCTACTAGCACCAATATTTTTAAGATTCTTTTGCCAACTGACAATATTTTTTAATGCACCTAGGTTTAGTTCAGTATGATGGCTCCCGTTCTTGCTCATTACATCACTGCTTTTTTTTTTTTGTCACTGTGACTACATTTTAAATTGCAGCTTTCAGATACAGAATGAAAGTCATAGTCTTCTAGGGTATAAAGGGTAATCTGAGGCTGTGACAGTGAGAATTGGTTAAGAAAAGGAAGTGGCAACCTTTCTCATGTTCCCAAAACACTTTTCTCCAAGCACTTCACAGTCTGTAGGAAATCCATCAAAAGTACATACTTAAAAGATAATCTTCCATGTACTGTATAGGAAGGCAGGGTTTGATTTTCAAGGCTACCTTTCCTTTGTACCCAAATTATACAATATGTCTACCTGCTAAGTTACCTTAAAACACACTTTCATTTAGGTTGCTTCCAACACTTGGCAATGCAAAGATGCAAGGAAAATAAGACCAGCAACACTGAAAGGAAAAGAAATCAACAGAGACAAGAGGGAAGGAGGGGGGCGGGGAAAAGGAAGGGAAGGGGAAAGTCAAGGAACATATAGCAAGGACTCATGGACAAAACCAAAGGGGAAGAGCTGAGGGAGGGAAGGAGGGAGGGGGCAAGGGAAAGTGGTGGGGGGGAAGCAGAGACAAATGTATTTGAAAAAATAAATTAAAATAAAATAAAAAAACCACACTTTCAAACCCACTGATTTATTGTTGGTATACACACACACACACATATATAATATATACACATATATATTATACACATAACATATAAGTATACCAACAATAAGGCATACCCATGCATTTTCCAAATACATTGTTGGAACTCTCTTGGTCTGACTTGTTTTTGTTTTTCTACCATGACGCATGTTGACTTTGGCATTCCATGAATTATTCTTACCAACAATTGTGCGCTTTCTGGTCCTAACTGCACCACAGTCTCCGTTGCATGAAGAAAACTTGGACCAGCTGGTGAACTGACAGTCGTCTTGGCAGGGGACCTGGCAGGCCTGGGTGAGGGCTGGCACGGGGCCGGCATACCGGAGGCATTCCTGGATGCCAGCCTGTCCCCCATCTTGCCTTCGACAAGTGATGGCTAAAGGGAAAGCACAGTGCTGTTTATAGCAAATCTGAATGTCTGTAATTACTCTGCAATTTAGGAATTAACATTTTCTTAAGCAGTCAGAGAAATCCTCTTTTAATTCTTTATTTTCAGCAGAAAACTGGTAGGAGTGTTTCTAATAATCACAGTAGCCATTAAATTGATGGTGTAGATTTAAAGAAAAAAATCACAGATAACCCCATGGTTTTTATGACATAAAAATGCATATACACTTGGCATTTAGTGGTTTTTATTACATGCTATTAAGAATTTCAAGTCACATGGGGAGTATATTTAGAAGTGAATTATTTAGGAGACAAATAAATAATAGATGGGTTGTGATACTAGTTTATGTTGAACACAGGTTATTCACAGAGGTGCTGGGAGACACCACATACCTCTAACAGTTGTTTATATGCATTGGCCACCCTGGGATTCCCACACAGAAGGGTCTTAGTGGCAGCAGATTGGCTGGAAGATTGGGGTGGAAGTGGATGCTTATGAAATTTCTCTTGAAGCCGCATGTGTATATTTTTTTTTTTACATTGAAAGTTTGTTGGGACGGCTCTCAAGTGGTTAACACGAGGGGATCGTGTCAAAGTCCCTCACTCCCCCCGGCTAAAAGCTCTCCACATGCACAAATATCAACCGAAAATTTTAAAATAAAAACTTTCAGCAACCTTAACCTATCATAATTGATCTCTCAACAACTACATATGGACTCTTAAAAATAGTCAAATAATTTTCGTTAGTATATACTATGAATTTGCTTTACTGATTTCTGTAAACCACGTCATAGTCTCATTACTTATTCAACATAGATGTAAAACTGCTTTAAAGTAAACAGCACTTAAAAAGAGGAAGTGATGTTTATGTTTAAATTCCCCTCTCTCCCTCTGCCATTTTCCCTGTTGGTTTTAAAATCATTCATTCAATTATTGAGGGAGCAGATGAAACATCTATTCCTTGGTTCTAAAGTTAAGTCTTTATTGAACTAGCTTAAATGGGCTCAGTCAGACTGATTTACACAGTCCATTCAGGTTTATGGTCTAGGGTGAAACAGCTGCTGCTCTCTGCCCTGCTCAGGATTCTGCTATTTTGAATCTAAGGTGAAGGGGCCTGGCATTTTGATCCGGAATTACAGTGAGAGCACAGAAGGCCTCGGGTTAGACAACACTCTCTGAATCTGTGCAGTAGGACTTACCACCTGGTAGTGTAGGGCTGTGTGCTGGGGCGTGCACAAGGTGGTAATAAGGTGGTAGCAAGGCAAGGCCTTCTCTGTGTAGGTAGACATAGTTTGTTGCAACTGCTACAGGAAAAATTACATAATTATGAAAATATAGGTGAATATTCATCTATTTCTTAGCTATACATATCTCTTCTTTTAGTATTCATAACCCTGGAAGAGCCAATTTTATGAAAAACAAAACAGAACAAAACAGAAAACAGGGGTCCCTGAATTTTAAAGATATGAAAACCTGGTAGAGTGGACAATAGCGGCCTTTATGAAGGTTATGTGATAGGAAAAACATTAAGTGCCCCAAAGAGACTTTTACTGCTTGGGAGAGAAGCAGCTTGGTGATCTGTGTTGATCATTCCAGTCTAAGGTAATGGGCCTCAAATCAAGCTGCAATTAAAATCACCCTGCTAGCTTTTGGAAAACGTACACACCTTTGCTGAATTCAAAAAATTCTGATTTAATTGATGGAGGACAAGGTCTTGGGCATTAGCATCTTTTTAAAGTTCCCAAATGATTCAAACATGCAGCAGTGGATTGAGAACACTGCTCTAGTAGGAATTATATTTGCACTTGCATCAGAAACACCTGGAATGCTATAAAAATAGCATTTTAATTGGATTCCTTCCAGAGTCCCTGAATGAGAATTCTGTGTGTGAGGTCAAGGAATATGCATTTTTTCGAGCTGCTCATATTTCCTTATGCATATTCAAGTTGAGGACCCACTAGTCCTCACACACTATGCAGCTTCATTTGAGTAATGAAGGCACAAAGAGGGGTCTGGTTGACACTTATGGCTAAGATGGAAAGTCCTTTGGTACCCATTCACCCTGGCACTGTACCAAGCTTTGGGGACACAATGGCTGAACATGGGGGAATGAGCTAAGAAAGTTCCAGGGGAACTGTACAAGGAGTGGACCAAAAAGAGTATCCATACAGTTTGGAAGAATGTTGTCTGTGGAATAGCATAGCAGCAATCCCCATGATGTGGTATGTTCATGAGCTGATGTGACTTTGCAGTTCTTGCTACACCTGTGGAAGCAGGGCTGCCTCCTTAAACACTTCAAACTTAGCACGCTGTGGTGGTTCGTGGGCAATGATGCCCAAGGAGGCTCGAGAGGAAGGCTTGATAAGGAGGAATAAATCAGACTTTTCGCTAATCAGGATAGGTGGGAGCCCAAGAATGATATATTTGGAAAATAAGAGATTTGATCATATTAGAACTCTAAGCTTTGAAAGAGGTCGCAGTGTTTATAACTGGGAGAAAATTACGAAATTAAATTTGAGTTCCTTGAAGTAGGACCACTTTTTCCTACTCACCCAATTTGGTACTCTGAAACAGACCTGATTACAAATCTTTTGAGAAACTACATGAAATTGCTGTATGTAGGTTTTCCATTAAGATTCTCTCTCTAACGTTTTTTTCTCACAAATTGTATTTCAGTATTGCTTCAACTATCATCACATTAAATAATATCAAATAAGTAAATAAATAAAACCACTACCAACACAATTCCAGAAACAAATTAATTTTGTGCAGATCTATATTATTTACATAAATCTAAAGTCCTTTCCCTACATACCTGCAGTACATAAATCTTTAGTATTTTGACTAGTTGAAAAAAAATGTGTAAAATTCCCAGATCTGTTCTCAGAACCCACTCAGCACTCCATTCCTCTTATCTGAGGTTTTAGGCAGTGTACTTTGAATGAATCACTCATGCAATGTTATGCAAACAAGTAGCAACACTCCCGTTTGTACAATATATTGAAAATTTATCACACATCTCAACTTGTTTTCTATTTTGACTTAGAGGAAATACAACAATTCTAACACAGGAATGCAATCTGAAATGAGCTTCCTGCTATTGGGCTGAGAAAAATATAAATGTTTGGAAAGGAAACCATCTGGTCTCTCAACTTCATAAATCTTAAAAATCATTTCTAAAACACTGAAAGCAGGGTGATTTTAACTGTAGAAAGGATTCATCGTACTAAGCATGGTTTCCTAGGACATCAAAGTGTTCCATATACTCAGTCAATTATATCTGCATTTACAGGTGGAGCATGCATATTTTGAGAATAATGATTATGCAAGTTTTCCTTTGGGCTGAGGTCTTTTTAGAAAGATGGGCCAAAAACCATGCTGCCTTATAAATAATTCACCATGAAAGCTTCTCAGTGTGAGGTCAGCAAATATCAAATAATTATGGTAAAGTAAAATTCCATATTTAATTCTGTTGACTTTATCCATTTATGTTATTGATCATTTTATTTTATTTATTGAGGCATAGCAATTTTTTGCCAAACTGTAAGAGAAAGTTTATTTAGAAAGTGATGGAGATAGTAGAAGTAAGCCAGTCCTGACTGGGGTGGCTCAGTGGGTTGGGCTTCACCAGCAAATCAAAAGGTCACCAGGTCAATTCCCTGCCAGGGCACATGCCTGGGTTGTGGGCCAGGTCGGTGGTTGGGCGAGTGAGACAGGCAACCGACTGACGTTCCTTTCACACCTCAGTGTTCTTTCCCTTTCTCACTCCCTTTTCCTCTTTCTAAAAATAAAAAAAAATCAGAAAGAAAGAAAGAAAGAAAGAAAGAAAGAAAGAAAGAAAGAAAGAAAGAAAGAAAGAAAGAAAGAAAGAAAGAAAGAAAGAAAGTAAGAAGGAAAGAAAGTAAGAAGGAAAGAAAGGAAAGAAAGGAAAGAAAGCAAGCAAGCCAGGCTGTGTAGGTTCCCAAAACAAGTTAAAGAGGCAGAAGAAGGGCTCTTGGAGCGGGACAGCACACCGAGGCACAGCAATTTTTATCTAAGTGTCGTGGCCTGGCTTCCATCAGGCCGAAAGCCAGGGAGTCATCCATGTGACCGACTGGTGCACTACACATGAATCAAGCCAGACAAGCTCTGCCCACTGACACTGAGGATTTGTTGAAAAAATAAATAAGAGAGCTAGTTTTATAAACAAAGAGAGGCTCTGAAAAGGGGAGACAAATTGTTAGTTTCAAAGTAACAGACATATTCTAACCAAATGCAATGTGGAAAACTTCATAGCCCTGATTTAAACAAATTGATGGTAAATAGGCATTTTTGAGACAATGGGGGGAAATTAAACATGATCTAAATATTAGATAATAATAAAGAACTATTGTTTACTTTATTTAGTGCTATAATAATACTTTCATGTTTAAAAACTAATTTATAGATGATATATATCTTATCTGAAAGTTGCTTTAAAATATACTAGCTAAAGCTTTTAAGCGTGTGAGGAGTGGCACATGACCAAGAATGGCAACATGTTAAACACTGTTGAGGCTGAGGGAGTGATGACTATACTACTAGTACTCATTATTCTTTTTGCTTTTGTGTATTATTGAAATTTCCTATAAATTTAAATTTAAAAAAATTAATAAATAGAGTCAATTCCAGAATGTTTTTATGTAACTTGAATTCTGTGCTATGTTCTGAAGAAGAGAATAATAACAGTTCCTGGAATGAAAGGTAATAGATAACATTGGTTTGAGCAATAAGGACATGGCTATCAGCGTTATGCTTATATGAGCATGTAAATGGAAGGCTACCAAAGCGGCTGTGAAGCAAACGTAATAGAATTCAAATGTAGTTGCTCATCTTCATTTTCTTGAAAAGCAATGACACTCCCTTATTATTCAGGATGCAAAAAAAAAAAAAAGAAAAGAAAAAAGAAAAAAGGCACATGCTATTGGTCTACAGGATTACCTTTCAGCATACCAGACCATGATGTCATTT